GGTTTCTAGGTTCTAAACCACCCACATCAGCGCCAGGAAAGACATTGTTATTTCCTTCTTCATCATCCACAGTTGCAGCAGAAAAGACACTATTTTTGTCTTCTTCATTGCCTATATCTTCATCCAAATCACCAGGTCCTAAACCCCCAGGAGAGACATTGTTATTTCCTTCTTCATTAGGATCTCCACCTATTTCTTTATAAAATCCATCACCCACAGCTACACCAGAAAAGACACCGTTATTGTCTTCATTAAATTTTCTGCCTAAATTTTCGTCAATGCCACCAGGTCCTAAAACACCCACAGCAGCACCAGGAGGGACACTGTTATTTTCTTCTTCATTAGGGTCTCCACCTATTTCTTTATCAAATTCATTACCTGCAGCTGCACCAGAAAAGACCTCATCAAAGTCATCATCAATGTCTCCACTAAAATCTAGTCTTTTCTTGGATTCCCATTCATTGGAAATTTCAGCAAGTTCAACCTTCGTCATTTGTATCTTATTATTTACTTCAGAAAGAGCAAGATAAATACGGTCCCTCTCAGCTTCATACTCTAAAAGAACTCGTTTCTATAAATGATGTTAGAAGTTCTTATATGTCTGGCAAAATCTGAATAAGGGGACTGCCAGAAATGACGTCATTTCCTAAGGGGGGAGGGGGGTTAAGACCATGATGATGTTACACATCTTCCATTTCTAGACACTTGTAGTTAATATAATTCTAGCCAGAATTATGTTTTAATTTTACATTTCCTAAATGAATGATGACATGGGGAGGAGAGGGGTCAAAAATCCTAAAATTTAAATTACGTCATTTCTGGCCATCCCCTAAGTCTAGAGCTCTGAATAGGTCAGACCAGTTCAGGTCAACTAAGAAATCAAAACTGATTTTTTATTTTTCGATTTACATAACAAAAAATAACCAACTTTTTATTAAATTAATAAAAAATTAAGGTTTTTCAATTTTTATAAATGAAAATGACTGATTTTTTATTTTAATAAAAACTCGGTCAATTTACATAACAAAAATACAAAAATAACCAATTTTTTATAAATTAATTCAAAATTGGGGAGGTTTTCAATTTTCATAATATAAATCTTCATGGGATGCAGTCATGCAGCTATGTAATAAAACAAACAACAAAGCTGATGTTGCTCATTATTAAAAGTTTTTAAATAAAATATAAAGTTATGAAAGAACCACTTCATATTAAACGAAGTGTATGAGATCGGCAAAATTTTACACTAATCATTTTATGTCACTGATCAGCGAAATTAATGGATCTTTCAATTTTCATAACGAAAATCAGTTTTTTTAAAAACCATTAATCAAAAATGCTGAAATGGCATTTTTATTTTTGGGCCAACAGGTTAATCAGTTAGGTACTGAATCAAAAATTTGGTAACCTGACCCAGATATTTCAGGACAGGTTATTTAGGCCTGAATCAACCTTGGCCTGTTCAAAGCTCTATGAATGACATAAGCCAACATACCTTCTTACACTCCTGAATAATACTACACCAGTAGTCTTTTAAATGGTCCGCACGTCGCAACCGTTCCTTCTTGATCTATTATAAGAAAGGTATTGTTAGAGTGTACTGATTATTTTTCATTTAGTAATAAAGGCAAACTGTTCATCCTCCAGAACAGATATACCCTTACTAACAACAAAGAAAGGATGCCCGAATAGAGGACCTGGAGTGGTTACCAGGCGGTCAAATCCAGTAATTTTCCAAGATAACCCCTAGGAGCGACTGGAGTTCACCTTTCTTCGCAAAATAAAAAAAAACCCATACCTTTTCATTTAAGGCAGTGAAATTGTCTTGGTTTAGTCTTTTTGCTTCATCCAAAAAACGGCTTAACCAAGAACTGTCAAGATTTATCCAGCTAGCCGAGAATAACATTGATGAAGTGACAATAGTATCTCGGCTGCAAGATAAAAAACCAAAATACGATTTATCTTGGTGCTGCTGCAAGTATGAAACAAGGATATCGCGTCCCATATATGTTTCATCAAAGTTGGAAGTAGACATAGTGAAAATATATTTTTCTATCGTATATTGAGTGAGATTACAGATACTTTTTATAAAAATAAAAATTAAAGATTACTTTTATAAAATAAAAATTAAAGATTACTTTTATAAAATAAAAAATAAAAATTACTTTTATAAAAATAAAAATTTAAAAAATACGCGTTAGTAAAAAATCAAAATTAAAAAATACGCGTTAGGCTAAAGCTTATTTATGTATATTTAGTGATGCAATATAATCATACTAATTATACTAATTGATATATTAAATCATTGTATGACTCCTGAATCAATAAATAGATCCCCGAAGTCCGAAAAAAATCACATAATTGATTTCGTGATTTTAATTAAAGTCCTATACTACGCCATCTTATTAATCGCGGTGATCTATGTAACCCCATAAACTATATTTAAGCCAAATCGGCCAAATTAAATTGAAGTATATAGTAAATTAGATAACAGACGGACCTTTAAAATAAAAAAATATTTTTCTGTATTTGGACGGACCTTTACTAATTTTGCTTTCCATTTGGGTTTGAAATAAACCGGTTCTGTAATCATTTTCGTATTTGTAATAGGCATCTTTCAAATAGAATTCCGCGAAAAGAAAGCTTAATACACGGTGTTACCACAACTGTGCCGTATCACATGCTCAAAAATCACATGTCTAAGCTAAAAGCCATACTTTAAAAATTTTAATTTGCCACGTTTAAGAATAAAAATTTGTTTTTATTACATTTTCTTAATAATTATCTTTGGGAATTATGTAAGCGTAATATTTGTTTTAATTTTTTTTTTATTTAAATAACAATTACTTTCCATTTAAGTGACCAAATTATAAGTAGGTTTCTAACGCAGAAGTTTTCTCTCGATATTAACATTCCAGTATCACTTGTTCGAAAATGAGACTATTTTTATTAAGGGTAATCGATTAAAGGAAACATATACATTTGTCATCATTAAAAATAGCAAATGAAAAAGATGAATAATATTGTTATTTTATTTATTTATTTCAGTTTATTGATAGAAAGGAAGATACAGATACTGAATGTACCATCTTTTCTAAAGCAAATGACACTTTTTATGAAATATAGTAAGTTTATTAGATAATTTAAACATATCAGATATCATCACATGATTTAGTTTTCATCCTTAAACTTACGTTTACCTAAGTTTAATTTTTCACTACTTACGGGGATATTTTACAATGAAATTATTTCAATACAAAATATGTAAAAATTTTACTATTTGCACGCGTAGTTTAATTGAGACATTTATCTTAATGGTAGACGAACTTTATCTACGGGCGGCCTTATTTCAGTTAATAAATTCTACTCTATGTATATATAATTATAAGCAAAAAGTTTTAGATGTAAGCGAAGGCAAGAAGTTATACAAAGGAAGGTAAAAAAACAAGTGTAATAAGAGAATGAATTTGTCTAAAAAGAAGATAAGGAAAATTTAGATGTCATTGACATGGAAGTCGATGATTTGGAGGATGATGATTCAGATAAAAAGGAGATAAAGATATTTTTTACCGGCCAGATTTGTAACAATTAGATTATCGTGAAGGTTAATCATTTTCTTGAAATCAGAAGGGACAAACAACCTGCTGGTGATAAGACCACAAAATATTTATTTTACTTTTTTAAGGAAAGTCTCAAACACGGAACACCAATTTTCAATTTAGTATACAATTGAATTTTAATAAAATGATTAGATAACTTTCATTAGATTTTTAGAAAATCAGATATCGCATATATGAGAAATTTTACACAAAGATAATCTTTTTTTTCTACCAATAGATAGAAATTTAGTAATTTTTTTTTTTTTTTTTTTTTTTAAAATTTTACTAAATTCAAAATTATTACACAAAAATCTATATCGACTGCCTATAAAGTTAATTTATTTATTTAAAGTAACAATAATAATAATCTTGCGTAATATGCAGTTTAAATGCAAAGTACCAATAAATTGTTATTTTAAGTAAATTATAATTTTAAATTATTTTCCAAATCTTGATTTAAACAGTACCTTAAAGATTTTCCGAATTATAATTTCAGTTGAATCATTTATTTTTTTTTGTTTGCATCATTTAGAATTTTCCAAAATTGTATTGCAATGTTAAACGAACTGATTGAAACTGAATATTTTATAATTTCTTAAATGATAGACCAAATTGTAACGTCATTTTAACAAAATCATTGATTTCTCAATGTTTGGACGACGCCAATCATCACCGGATCATTTTTTGTAGTACAAACGAAATCCATTCAAATAACTATTTTTATCTCGAGTAATACATATTTTCAAAAAAGGAAAGTAATTAAATTCATTAAAATTTTTTAATTAAATTTATTTTAAGCAAAAAAATCCCATTTTTTTCGATTATTTTATTTCCTTAAAAACTAAAAATATTTCATTTAATAAATTATATTATACATTTCATTTTTAAACTACGTATTTTGCAATTGCCAAGAAACATTTTATTGCCACACAATGAGGACGAATTTTTTTTTTTATATTTAACATATTTATTTTATAAAATCAATTATGACAAAAATTTTAAATTGTTCATGAAAATTTTAAAAAAGAAATTCCAAGTAGAAAAATTAAAGGTTCACAATTAAAAATATCAGGGAAATTTGATCTAATTTTAAAAAAATCAATGTTAGATAAAACAAATAAATCTGAATAGTGGACTTAGTTCGTTTACGTTTCTCATTGTAATATATATTGTAACATTGTAAAAAATCACGGACTTGGCGTTAATTCTTTGTTTTTGTGAAAAGTTATTTTAAGATCATAAAAGATCCGTAAACTCCGTCAATACAATCATTCATTGATAATTTCTTCGAAAACATTCTTTTGAAAACTCTTTATATGTATTTTTTTGGTATTTTTTTTTTCATTATAAATAACCGCTTTCAATTCCCTAACTTTACATTTAGTTCACGATAACTTTAAAAAAAAAAATAACTTTTATTTCCAAACAATTCTGAATTTCACGATTATTCAAACGAAACAACTTTTTATTTTCCGAAAAAAAATCAAAAATCATCATGAGATTCTTTATCGTATTAATTGCACTCGCAATCTTGGCTTTCAGTACCTTTGTTGCATCTACGCCAACTAATCAGGAAAGGGGAGAAGGTTCAAGTAGAGTACCATCAGTCAGCGATAATCAGAATCAGAAAAGAGGCGAAGGTTCAAGTAGAGTACCATCTGTTAACGATAATAAGAAGAGAGAAGAAGAAGAAGCAACTTCTAATTGGAAAAGAGGAGATCCAATCGATAGGGTTCAATCAGCTGTTAGCAGTAATAAGAAAAGATCTTTGTTAGAAAGACAGAACAATAAGTGCCCAAATGGATATCATTGGTGCTATGACAAATACGGTGGATGTTGCCCTAATTATTCCGTTTGCTCATACCCTAATACATGCACTTCCAAATGCTAAACGAAATTTATACCAACGGTCTATTTTGATGTAGTATTATTTAGCTTAAGAATTTACTTTCTCATTAACTTTATCATGTATTTCTTTTTATCATGTATTTTTTTTTTTCATATTACTGAATTTATTGCAATATAATATAAATAAATAAATATATTTATTTTGTTTATCACGAACGAACTAAAACTGCTTGATTCTTTGAAACTTTTACTTTCTCAAATAATATAAAGATAAAATAAACCAATATATATGGCTGTTTAATAATGAAACAAGAAATTAAAGTATAATTTCAATTGTATTATATGAACCATGAACTACTAATTCTATAATTACGAATTTATTTTACATTTGAAATTTCATATTATAAATACAATTATGTAATTTAATGAAAAAATTAAGTACAAACGGACTTTGCTGTACAGTACTTCCAATTGGCTGCTCTGTAATATTATCATTATTACACCTAGTTTGTCAAAATAATAATGACTCAATAATACAATATATTTGGAAAAAATTTTCAGAACCATTGTTATTAAAGATATCATTTATTAACTAAAATAGTAAAATATGACATATGGATTCAACAATCGATTGTTTGAAACTGGTAAAAAAATAATATGCATGCAACAAAGATCAAATTACCTTTTTTTATGTTAGTTATTGTCTTATTGAAACTCCTTTTACTTTCATCAATCATTTTTCACGATAGGAAAATGATAGGCCAAATTACCATAATCAGATCCTTCTTGTGGTACAAAAATACTTTTTTATCTAACAAGTCTTACTAAAAAGGAATCTAAGACAATCTAAAATCTCAGGTTACTCCATTTTACGATGGAATGTTCTTAAATTTACTATTTTTAATACTGTAAACTCTTAAGATTATTAAGAGACACTTTTTAAAAAAAATATAAAAATAAAATCATAAAATTGAAAATGTATAAACTATTGTATATATTATATATTATATGTGAATATTCTTTTTTACATATATTTTGTATATTTATTTATTAATAAAAAAAAGAAGAATTTCTAAAAAGAAAAATTGAGGAAACGTTCGATAACAGTTGTGAATAATTACTGCGTAGGGCTGAATAAAATTTATTGTTCATCTATGAAGATTTACAGATCACAAACACATAATAAAACAGAAAAAAGTGATTTTGGAAGCGACAATAGCATCACCGAATTGACAAGAGCACGATTTTAAGAAACTTCATATTATAATTAATGTACCCTACTTTGTCTAATGATGTTTCGATCATTTGTAAGTAACTGGAAATGTCTCGTATTATCTGTTCAACTATGGCCACTTCTAATTTAGATCTCTGAAATAAACTATAGTGTATCATTATAGCCATTCAAAATGCAATAACACACCTGCTGAATCCATAACCGTGTTTTAAGAGAACCTTCGAGTTATAATACTATGAAGATATAGAGGAGATTGATTTATATACCACGAAATAGGACGACATTATCGTCAAGACGTCAAGTCAGCAATGATTAGGTAATAAACCCTATACACTTTAATGGAACGTCCTTGTCATGGATGCATGCATATGCGGTGCAACCTTAAAAGCACATCGAAGTGTCAATCTGTTTTTTTTTGATAAATATTTCGCCTACGAATAGGCAAGGTAGTTGAAATTATGAAGAAGCCTATTTTTAAAAAACTAGACGTATTGCTCAAAATAGTACTGCGGTAGTACTGCGGTGGTTGTTCAAATGACGAGTACGCAAAAATCGTAAAATGTAGAATTAACATATTTGCAATAATTATGAATTTTAAAATATTTCTAATTTATCTATCTATAAGGTTCGTTTGCACTATTAATCATGTATATTGAATTTTTATAAAATTTGATTCACAATATAATTATTAAAAATATTATTTTGCTCGTTAGTCTCGTTACGGTTACCAAAATTTGCTCTAATATAATAAATTTTTATTATTTTAATATTACAGATGAAAATTAAATTAATAACTAAATTTATACATTTCCCAATAGTCGTTCGTGTTTCCTGTCATTTCATATGGTTACGCAGTAAAAATATTGTGAAATCGACAGGTTACTTTTGCTTACCCTTTTACACCCATAAAAATACATAAATGGAAAACATAATTACTTATCAAAGTCTTTATTTTTTAAATCCAAATTTTATGATTCGTAGCGATAAATTTAGAGATTATACGCTTCAAAAAAAAAAAAATCCGTTCAAAAAATAATATTTATTAAAGCGAACTGTAATAGTCATATTATTATTATCGTTAAATATGCTGTTCATCAAATTTTAATAATAAATTTAATTATTATAAGGGATTACACATGAACAGAGTCAACAGACGACCTCTAATAGTTGATTGGTCGGTAAAATAATAAATTTTGTTAAATTTTTTTTATTAATCAACATACTGTATTTAAAGTCAATAATGTCATAAGTCATCATGCTATGATTAGAAAAGCTTACAAAAAGCTTACAACGTTTTGTTACATAAATTGAAAATTATGAAATTAGTAACTCAAGATCGATTAAGTACAAAATGGCTAAAAGAATTATTTCGATGTTATTTAATAAAGTGCGGACTAAAAAGATTTGACGCACCTCATTTGACTATATGAAATACTTAAAATTGACGCACCTATGCCTGGGAGTTGGGTTAGACTTAATATATCTTTCCAAAAATCTGCGCATACGAGTACGTCGGTCGAGCATATTAATCATGTGACTTAGTTCCAGACTCTAACGCTATATCGAAAAATTATTGTATAAGCGCTAGGAATATTGACATCGAGAGGAGCTAAGATATAGATGAGATATTAATTGTAAAGACTATATATTTTATTCTAAAACAATATGTTTGACAATTTTTTTTACAAATATCAAAATGACTACAAACAAGTTTTACGATATGAAGATACTGTAAGTCTAAAATCTTGAAAAGTTTTAAAATGGCAGGACAAATTTTGTTTGAAAATAAGAAACTTTATTGATAATAGATAATCACGATTTTTTAGAATTTTCTACCACCCCGGAACTAAGAAGTACAAAAAATTTCGTATATTAAAAAAAAATTCAGAAATATACTTCTAGGATATTATTGATAGCTAATAAATGTAGTTTAAACGATTAAGAATCGTCTAGAGCGGAAATAATCACGTGACTCAGTACTCAATGACGTCATTCGTTGCCACACCTACCTCTATATTGTTCATAATTTTAACTACCCCGCCTATTCTTAGAATATATTATCGAAATCCGATTATTATCACCGCGACAAGCTTTAAAGAATTAAAGGTTGCGCTGAATTATATAACAAGGACGTAAGTTGATGCTACTCCCATTAAAGTTTATAGCTAAGGTTGCTTCGAAACTTTGTTTTTCTTTTTAAGAAACGTTAACTAACGTTTCTTGTTTTCTCTTTTGTAGGTTTTGGCTAATTTTGGAACGTTATAACCACTTTATGTTGCCTAAGAGTTTCGTTAACTTATCAAGAATCGCGGCGGACAATTGCATTGGAGATTATTTTACTCTATGCAGACTTTAAGATAATGATGACGTCCCATATTGTGAAATATTGATCAATCTCCTCATACCTACATATAAATATCCAACTCGAAGGTACTCTTTTTCCGTAACATTTTATTGGTTTTTTCCAAGCGTTTTGTGAAAAGTACTGTATTAAAAATAAAACATAGTCAGATCAATTTGCGTTATAAAGTGGAAACATTATTTGTTTGGAGAATTGGTGCTTTTCCATAACGTATACTTTTTTTATCTTCTTTTGGTATATTGAGCATGCATATAAGGCGTCTTCATAATCTTTAGCCGAAAATCAAAAGTGGACAAGTGATATGGCAGTAATACTGTACTGTATATAGCATTAAAATGCATTTTCATTCCACGATAAGAAAGGTTCTTTGCATATGATATGAAAAATTCCGTTAAGAATACTTAAGATACCAATCAATAATAAGCAATTAAGATAAGAGTTCATTAATATACTTAACTAACTCATGATTCAGACAGTACAGTATGCTATATCATATCGTTTATTCCAATAAATTTCCGAATATTCCATCACGAGATGCTTTTCCTGGTCCCTTTAAAGTTACGCCCCAACGTATATGAATCCATAGTGTCCCCTTCATATTCTCCAAAATTGGTTTCTTCTGTTTGTTGTGTTGTGTCCGTTATCCGTAAATCTTGAACAATAAAAAATAATCTAATTTTTATTCAGCATTATGCAGCAGCTATATTCACAACTATTATCAAACTTTTTTTTTGTAAAAAAAAAAAAAGAAAAAAAAAATAAAAAAGTAAAAAATTTTTCAAATTACTTAAACTTTTTTTGCTACTGACCACCTTTTTTTCACAGGGCTACGCTGATTGGCTAAAAATGCAGGTATTCTTAATTAGCAGTACGTTGTCGAACAGCTTTTGAATGATTAACCAACTCGTTGAGGGAGATGTTTGAGAACGTTCTAGACAAATTAACTGTTATTTTATAATTGTGAACCTCTTCTTTGGTATTCTTTTTTAATTTTTTGATAATTTAAAATTTTAAAAATAATTCTATAACTTACGCGTTAATTATGTAAAAAAATAATATTAATAAATAATATAAATTTTCGAGTTGAAGCAACAAGTGCAATAAAATCACTTGATTTTATATTTACTTTTTTAATATTTATTAACAGTATTAAAAATAGTAAAATTAAGAATATTTCAATGTATATTATTGAAATGTATAGGATCTTCAATAAAAAATAAAATAGACCAACTTTTTTGAGTAACCTACTTTTTTGAGTAACCTAAAAGGGCTAAACTTTCAGAATGTCAAAACTACTTTTTTAGGAAGACTTGTTAGATAAAAAAAGCATTTGATTGTATTACAAAATGATCCGTTGTTGATTTTTATGTAATGGCGTAAAAATTCATGCAATTTAGCCTATCATTCCTCACCACATAATATTAGGTAGTTTTAATCTTTGGTGCATTATTTATGTTATTATTTTTTTTACCATATTCAAATAATCGATTTGTTTTTTTATGTCATGCTTTTTTTAGTTAGTAAATAATATGTTAGTCTCCTTTAATAACGTTCATAAAATGATTGCTAAATATAACTTTTTCATGTTTCTTAGATTGAATTTTTACAAAAAATTTTCTAATTTTTTAATTAGAAAGTGTTAAACCGTTCTTATTAAATACATATTTTAACGACCACATATTATTGAGTCATCATTTTAACAAATTAGGTGTAATAATAATATCAGATCAGCAATTGGATTTTAAAGGTACTATATAAATTTGAAAAGGATCATTAAATAGCCCAATTATATAGTATATCGGTTTATTTTATCATTATATTATTTGGAAATTAAGATTCCAAAGATCAACATTTTTAATTTGTCATTTGGGAAACCAGTAAAAAATGTTTTAATAAAATGAATATATTTTATTTAAATAAGATATAAGTAATCAATAAAATCAATACATGAAATAAAAAATAAAGTAAAAAAAAAAAAATACACGATTTAAAATTCTTAAGCTAAGTAAATACTAATAATAAACACTATTCTTAGATACAAGAATTCCATTTAACATTTTGAAGTGCATGTGTTAGGTTGGCTGCATACTGAATAATTCGGGCAACACCCGCCGTAGGCATCATAACACCAATGATATCCGTATGAGCACTTATTAGACTGTCTTTCCAACAAAGACCTTTTCTTATTACTGCTAACAGCTGGTTGAACCCTATCGATTGGATCGCCTCTTTTCCAATTTGAAGTTGCTTCTTCATCTCTCTTCTGATTATCGTCAACAGATGGTACTCTAGTTGACCCTTCTCCTCGTTTCTGATTATCGCTAACTGATGGTACTCTATTTGAGCTTTCTCCCCTTTCCTGATGATTAGTTGGCGTGGAAGCAACGAAGGTACTGAAAGCCAAGATTGCGAGTGCAAGTAATACGATAAAGAATCTCATGATGATTTTGGATTTTTTTTGAAAATAAAAAGTTGTTTCGTTTGAATAATCGTGAAATTTCAGAATTGTAAGTTATTTTCTTTGAAATTATCTCGAAATAACTGAACATAAAGCTAGTAGGAAATTGGTCGTATTTATAATGAAATGAATGAGCCGATGAATACCAAAAAAATGTTTATAAAGAATGTTATCGAAGAAAATATTATCAGAATAAAAACATTGCATAATCTCATCAGTGATGCGTAAATCCGCTTCATCTTACAAAGTTATAATATTAAAATAATAAAGTAAATGAACCGCATAGATAACGAGGGATAAAAATCTATTCAGCTTTATTGATTAATAAAATTATTATCGGATGTTGATTTTTACGGAGATCAAATGATCAATCGTCTGATATTTTTTTTTTAACTGTGAACCTTAAATTTTATTTTCGGTAATTCATTTAAAATTTTTGTAAACAATAAGATTTTAATTTTAAAAAAATGATATATGTTACATATGTAAAAAAAACAAATTCTTTCTCTTCGTTTCATAAGATATTTGTTGGCGATGTACTTTCCTTTTTAAGAAAATGATATAGATAAGTGATACTGATTGGCGTAAAAGATGCCGTTCAGCAAACAAATAAATTACAATTTTGCCTATCATTTAAAAATCGGGTCGTCCGACATGCAATACAAATACAATTTGAAAATAATTTATATAATGCGAATATTTAAATGACATTAAATTTGGCCTATCATTTAAAAGTCTTATGTAGTTCCGATAAAGTTCGTCCGAAACATATAATTCTAATATTCAAATGAAATTACAAATTAGCCAATCATTTAAAAAATCTAGTTCATCCGATATACAATACAATTTGAAAAAAATTAATATAATGCGTATATTCAAATGTTGCTTATCATTAAAAAAATCTAAAAATATTCGTTTCATTCAGTTCATCTAACATGCAGAAAAAATCAATATAATGTAAATATTTAAATGACATTATAATTTTGCCTATTATTAAAAATATCTAAAATATTCGGTTTCAATCAATTCGTCCGGCATGTAGTACAATTTGAAAACATTCACATAACATTCAAATGATATTACAATTTTGCCTACCATTTAAAAAAATCTAAAATATTCAATTTCAATCAGTTCATCCGAATGCAATACAATTTGAAAAAAATGCAACAAATGATATCACAAATTTGGTCTATCATTAAAAGATTTAGAAGATACAGTTTTGATAATTTCGATCAATGTTTGTCAAATGACTTGAAACTACACACGTATTTGAGTCATTTGTTATTTATTGCATATTACGCAAGATTGTAAAAAATTTTTTAAAAAATTGAAAAAATGATCAAAAGATTTTTTGATATGTTTTATTTTGAATTTCAAAAAATTACTTTACTCAATTCCTCCCATAGTTAAAAAAAAATTGCAGTTAAGCGCGATGTTTGATTTTCTGAAACGCTCAATTTAACATCTTTAGGATCACTATATTACCCATTCCATCCTTTTTACGACTGTCACAGGAATATATTTTATTTTATTTTTTTTTTTTTTGTTCGTTTGGCATATAGGTTATTTTTAGTTTTAAATTATATCTAGAGTTTATTTTATTTATTGGAAAACGAAGGCTTAGATAATGGGTGGCTAAGATAAATCGGAAGTGGCTTAACTGGTGTAATGCCGTAGTATATCTAGTAAATTTATTAATTGTGAGGCGCAGTATTACATTTAGTCTTAGTGTATAAAATTTTAACTTATTTTTATTTTTATTTTAATTGGACCGAGAAGTCGTTAAACTAATAATCACATGGATTAAGGTAATTGGTCCGTGATGACCTTAAACTATTAGTCACGAGATTTAAGGATAAATGAGGATCCGAAAGATACTAAATTGAATGAAATCAAGTGATCTGAGGTGTCAAGTGATTAATTTGTTGATCACTACGTTAATATTATAAATCATAATTCAGGAGTTCATGATGATCAAATGGATACAAAATTAAGATAATGGAAATACTTTAAAACAATGAAAACACTTTAAAAATTTAAATCCATGAATCGAAATTATGGATTTAGTTACACAAAAACAAGCATAAAAGGGCGTGAAGATCACCTTTTGGAAAAGGGGGAAAAATTAGACGAATTTTGTTATGAATTATTTATTTTGTTATTTAATGTTATTAAACCAAGCATATTATTGTATTTATTTATATTATTAATAAAGAGTCATTTTGTTAATACCTGAGGTGGCAAACATAATTCTCTATGGGCTCAGGTGTTACAAGTGGTGCATGCTCCGAGAAAGGAAAAGTGATCATCCTCACATGATCACTACAGGTTATAAGTACAGGATCTCTGAGAAAAGAAAATGATCACCCCCACGTGATCATTAGAAGTTACAAATAAAGGATCGACGAAGTTAAGGAATTATAAAATTAAAAGTTCTAAGTCTTGGTTGAAAAAGAATTTAAGGCGTATTAACGTTAAATTTTAATAAAATAAAGTTAAATATTTTAAAGGATACGTGAAAATAATGGTTACCAAGGTAAAAGGTATTAATTTGGGTGAGTATGACCATAAATGTATAAAGAGATAATGTTAAAAATTAAATTTTTGATCTAACTTGACCACCGGCTGATAAGTCAATGAAAAATTATTATTATAATAATTTTCATACATATGAACCAAATATGTATGGTAGTAATTGATTATCAAGGGAAATGCGAGGCTAATCAAGTTAGAAGGGGTTTTAATAGAATATTGTAAATAAGTTCCATGAATTAAGGATTAAAAATAATTTTTATAAATAATTGAGGTTAAGTTAAGGATAAAAAGTGTACCCAAAAACCGACACTATAAATACGATGGTAGGGTAATTCTGTGTGAACTCAATTGAGGTTTTCTGTGTGATCAATTGAGAATAATTCTGTGTGAACTCAATTGAGGTTTTCTGTGTGATCAATTGAGAATAGTTCTGTGTGAGCTTTTTCTGTGTGAACTCAATTGAGGTATTCTGTGTGATCAATTGAGAATAGTTCTGTGTGAACTTTCAAAAACAATTCTGTGTGAGGGTACCCAAGAAAAATCATGATTAACGTTAACAAAAATTAAAATAATATTTGCTGGACAAATATGAAAATTACAGGAAAGAGATAAATCAAATATGGAAACACATCCCAACCTTAGGTTGGAAAATTTTATGGAATATAAATTTATTTGTACAAACCTGTAAACTACCATACTCAGTAATGAACAAATGAGGTAAAGGCAAGCCCAGTATAGGTCAAATAAAATATAAAAGAAGGATAAAAAGTAAAAGACGTGAAAATTTTTAGAGAATTTTATTAAAAATGGAATGGTACCATGTTTGGAACGCTGAATATATAAACCATAAACAAGAACATGACCTAGGAGTGATAGAACCAGAGGAATGTTTAGCATGTGAAATATGTAATCCAATAGAAAGAGAAGTATCAGCAGCATTCAAGAAATTTTGGGATGCTTTATTTAAATTTGAGGATACAATACTAATGTACAATAATGTAACACATAAAGAATTATTGAATTTATTAAGTATGGACAATAGAGAAAGGGAGGACACAATACATAAAGGAAAATGTAGGAATATAGTAGATAGAATAATTGAATCAATAAGGTACAGACAACAACCAAAAATGAAAGAAAAAGGATTGAGAATAATAATTGTAGTAATTGTAAGGGATTGTATTGAAGGAGACTTAGAAAATGAAGTATTTGATCGATTAATTGGATGTCCAGAAATAATGGAACATGGATACATTTTAGAAGATTGGGATGTTGAAAATAGATTTCAAAAATTTTGGGATTGGTATAACACGATATTGGAAAATGAAATGAAAGCAATACATGTTAAGAAGTTAGCAATGAAGTTATTCAGGGATCTATTATATGAAGAAACAGAAGATCTGTTGAGGAAAGAAGAGGTAATTGAATTATTACTCCAGATAGAATATCAGAATAGATGTGAGACAGACACGCAAGAAGGAGGTGATGCATGGATAAGATATGTATCAAAAGTAAGACAAAGATTTATTGATACCAAACAATTTACAAGGGAACCTGAGGACCCAGAAAGTGATAGTCCTGAAAGTTATGAAATAGAGGACAGTGAAGGTAGTATACATTATGAAATAAAAATAGAGGATGATGTCGAATGGACAGTGGAATCATTAAAAAGAAAAATTGAAGAAATGGGTGGAAGGTTCACTGACAAGGATATACAAAGAATGTGGGACCTAAGGATAAGAATAGAATTGATATTAACAGAAGACTTTTTAGGTACATTTTTCGAATTAATGAGACTAAGTGATGAAAAATTAAAAGATGAAATAAATGAATGGTTAACAAAAGAAACATTAATATGTGGAAATTGTAGGAATAGAAAGTTACCTGATATGATAGCAGACATTGGACAATGTAAAAATTGTGAACAAAAAGAATTATTAGAATTAAAGGATGACTTAGAAAAATTAGGATACGAATTAAATGTGTCAGAAATAGAAAGAATGAGAAAATTCAGGATAAGCAATAGTATAATATTAACAATGGAATTTATGGAAAAATATTTCCAGGAAATTGATACGGATGACAAAGAATTAAGGATAAAATTATATGAATGGATAAATGAAAATACCACATTTTGTAATGAATGTGGAATAAGATGGATAAACAATAAATTTGACGAAGGAAAAACCAAGTGTAGGGATTGTGAAAATGACGAAAATGAAATTGATATCAGGGTCAAAAGATTAAAACAAATATGTGATGATATTAGAGTAGAAATAACTGATGGAGAGTTATTGAGGTTAATTAGTATGAGATATACTGATGGAGAAATATTGGATCAAGAATTTATTGAAATATTCCAAGGAAATAAAAATGAAGTGGAGAAAAATTTAAGGCGGATATTAGACAAATTTCTAAAACAGCAAGCTGGAATTGAGGATAGTGAAAGTAGTGGAAATAAATCTGATGATGAAGAATCGGATGGGTCTGAAAATAAATCAGATGGATCTGGAAAAGATGGAGAAATTTTAAATCCAAATGAAAGTGATAACAATGAAAATTTTGGAGAACCTTATGAAGAAAACATTATAAATAGACCTGGTTTTGACTCAAGTGAAAGTTCAGAATCAAATTCTGAGGATAAAAGTGAAATACCTGATTATAATATAAAAAATTTATTTGAAACACCTTTAACACCACCAATACCACCAATCCCACCAATAGTACCAATAATTATGGGAGCAACAAGAGCTGAAGTAAGGGAAGATTTTAGAGCGGCTTTACTAGCAGCAAC